AAATCTCTCTCTCTCTCTCTCTCTCTCTCTCTCTCTCTCTCTCTCTTATCCCATCGACGGAAGTAGCCTCTCTCTATCTGTCTGCGTGCATGGCTGAAAAACTCTCTCTCTCTCTCTCTCTCCGTCTCCTCCCGCTCCTGTTGCTCGTCCTCCTTTCGTTGCTTCTCCTGCTTTTTCCTCCGTTCGTTCTCCCCCTCCTCTCGCTCCTCTTCCCGCACCATAGCCCCGCTCCCGCTCCTTCCCCACTCCTTCTCCCACGCCTTCTCTCGCTCCTTCTCCTGCTCCTCCCACTCCTGCTCCTCCTCCTCCTCCCCTTGCCGCTCCTCCGGCAAACAACGTGACAAAGATCCCTCCATAGCCCCGCTCCCGCTCGTTCTCCTGCTCCTCCTCCCTCTCCTCCTCCTCTCCCGCTGCTTCCTCTGCTCTTTCCCCCGTTCCTCCTGTCGCTCCTTCTCCCGCTCGTCCTTGTGCTCCTCCTGCTTCTCCTCCTCCACCTATATCTCCTCCCCCTCCTCCGCCTCCCGCGCGTTCGTTAACCCCCTCCCCGCTCCCCCTCCCGCTCCCCCTTCCGCTCCTTCTACCGCCCCTCCTGCCGCGCCTCCTCCGCCCCTTCCCGTTTCTCCTCGTGCTCCTTCTCCCGCTCCCAACCCCCTTCCCGTTTCCCCTGCCGCTCCTCCTTCTCCAGCTCCTCCTCCCGCGGCTCCTCTGCCCCTTCGCAATTCCCCTCCCGCACCTCCTCCCACTCCTTTTCCCGCTCCTTTTCCCATCCCTCCTCCCGCTGCTCTCGCTCCTCCTCCCGCTTGTCCTCCGCCAAACAACGTGACAAAGATCCCGCCATAGCCATCTCCTATGAAAAAAACAAAAGAAAAATGGCCAGCCACGGGGGAGTCGGGATCGGAGCGTCGGGATCGCAAGGGGGGGGGAGGAGGGGGAGGCGGGATTGAGGAAAGAGGGGAAGGAGGGTGCGGGGATCAATGGTGGTCGTGTGTGTGTGTGTGTGTGTGTGTGTGTGTGTGTGTGTGTGTGTGTGTGTG